TTTTTTACTTTTCTACTTGGATTACAAAAAAATTTATTTTATTACTAAAATTGTAAATATTATGAATTTATAAATAAATTTATTACCTTATACTTGATTAAGTTAAAGGTTTTCTATATAGATATCTAATAGATCTTTAATTATCTTCTCAATATCTTTACCAGAAGTGATTTTATAACTAAGTTTAACATATCAATTAATAGCATGTGTAATTTTAACAGAAAAATTTGATTATTATAATATATAATAAGTTAAAAAAAGATAAAAATAATTACCTACTTAGGTATGATGTGAATCTATAGTAGTTTTAGTTTTTCCAACATTTAAAAAATCCATTTTGAACGTATATATCATATTATTTCTTTTAATATTATAATATTATCATTAGTTTTGTATTATTATAGTATCCACTATTATCAGATATAATGGTTACAAATTTAGGTTTTCTTTTAAATGTTTTAATTACTTTATACAAAGAAATACTGTAAATTAAGCATCTTACTTAGTATCTTCACTCTAATAATTAAAGTATTAATATTGAGATTATTGATATGTTAATCTTTGATATATAATAAAATTGAATGTAAAGTCTATTCACATTTATCAAACTATTCATCTTTTGTTTCTTTTACTTTTTTAGAATTAGTATGTATTTTATAATTTACAATAATTAAGTCTCATCAGAATTAAATTAAAAAAGGATAGCAGATAATTATGTATTTAAATATACTTTATAAGCATAATATGATATAAATGCAATCAATTTTTTTTGATATTTATCAAGATTTCCATGCAGATTTAATAGTAAATAATTTTTCAAATTTTTGAAAAAAATAAAAAGACTTTCACAATTCACACAAGTATTAAAATACATTTCTTAACAATTATCAAAAGTATGTAAAAGATAATGCGATACACAAAAATCATGAATTGCAACTCTATCTTTTATTATATTTAATTTTTAAAATAATTCTTTCTAAGATAACATTATAGATTTTGAGTAGCAGTGATTAATTCATTCTATTATAATAAAATAGCTTAGAATAAAAATAATCTTGAATGAAGTATTAACAATTATTTAGAATTATCAAGATTTTATTTAAAGTACTAAATTTGTAATATTAATATTTATTAATTTTTTAATATTTGCAAATACTTGATATTCATATTCATTATATTTTAAATAAAGTCTATCTAAATTTTCTTTATATATAAAGCGTTTACCATTTAATCTTGTTATAAAGGATATTTTTGCATTCTATTAGGATATCATAAAATTAATTCTATAAAACTTTTTTATGATTTTATAAGTAAAGTACTAATAATCCACTTATATTATCAGTTTTATAAAAATTTATATTGACATTTTTATTTATAGAAAAAAAATTTAAATTGTTATAATTGTTTAGTAGTAAATTTTACTTGATAAAAATTTGGTTTATTTAGTGAAAATGCTTCATAGCTATTTATTCGTATATATTTATATAATTCTAATATAATACATCATTTAATCTAATGTTTAATTATATTAGTAAATTATTTCAATATTTACTAATATATTACAAATTACTTATGCCTAAATTTTTTTGTAGTTTTTTATAAGTAAAATCAATTGCAATACATAATATTTTGCATTATGATTTTTTTTGTTAACTTCTAATATATGATTAAAGCTTTACTAAAAGGTTAAAATTAAATTTTCAGCTAGAATATCCTTGATAAGAAGTTTTATCTATATAATAGGTAAGTAATGCATGATCTTATTTTGAATAGTTGGATTTTGACTAAAATTGATACTAAAATAAATTTATAATTAGTTATTTTATAGAATTTTTAATTTATATTAGAAATCTTTCTCAATAATATCTTTTTTTTCATAAGACCAAGGAGTTACCTTATTGACACTAATAGCATAAAGAAAGATTTACTATACACCTATCACTCTCGTACTGAATTGATAATTTTCAGAGTATATTTTATATAATTTATTATTTAGATTAATCAAAAGTCATATTTGTTTATCCTATTTTATGAATAATTGATACTAATTAATATTTGCAATTATTCTTTGTTTTAGATGAAAATCAAAAATTGATTTTATAATATTATAATATTTCTATTCTTGAGATGAATATGTTGGTCTTTTTTGTTTTTGATTTAGAGATTTTATTATATAGTTATCAATATCAAATAATTAATTCCTATTAAAATTTTTTATTTATTGTTATTGAGTATTCTAAATTTTTCTATACAATTAATTAGATTTTACTTATAAATATAATTTGAAGTTTTTGATCTTGATATACTTCAATAGTAAATAAAATTTCTTCAATTTAGAAATAAATAATGTCTGGTTATTTTCATATTTATAAATAAGAGAAGATTTGTATTTAGATCTAGTATAATACTAATCTATATACGTTGAATACTTCACTCATATATAAATATTCTTATATTTTCAAGTAAAAAGAAACAAAGAGTAAAAGAAATATCTTCATACAATTTATTTATTATTTTTTCATCATTCTATCCTATTATTAATAAATCAGAATAGTGGATTTTTATTATAAATAAACTTCAAAGATAGTATTAGTTAGATCATTTGTAATTTTCACAATATCATTATATTGATACACATAACCTAATAAAAACTATTATTATTTTTATTACTAATAATTGCTATAATAATAAATTTAAGATTGTTAAATACTGCTTAGTTATTTACTTCACTCAAATAAAAATAATTTGTAATTTTATTAGAATTAGATAAAGACTTTTACTAATAGACTATAATGATATTTTTTTAATAAGTATACCTGATAAAATAAGACTAATATTTATTTTGTATTATTTTATTATTATTTTATAGATAGAGATTTAGTATGTACGTAAGATGTAAAAATAGCATTTTTTATTATTGTAATTATTTCTGAATTTTATTATAAAATTATTATTATACAGTACTGATTTTAAACTAATTAGTAATTAATATAAATTACTATCTATATAAACTAATAGTCTATTATTTTTAAAATATTACTAAACATTTTTTCATTAATATTATATTCATTAACTAAGTTTTTATTTTTTAAAAATAATGAAGTTAATTTTTTAAATAAACTTATTTTTTATATTATAATAAAAATTTTGTATTTTTCTAGAGGTTTTAGATTGTTATATAAAGTTAAAAGTTAACTTTATTTTGGTATTTTAGAAAAATTATATAATAGAAAAAATAAAATGAAATATAAAATATACAAAAATCATTTTTATTAATATTATAAGAATGTATTTATTATATTTGAAAAAAAAACCAATATTAAAATATTATTTATAATTTAATTAAAAATTAATTTTGTAAAAAATATTATAAAAAATTTGTTATAAGAAGGATTTTTTATATATCAATATTTATACATTTTATTTTGATAAATATTATATAGTATTTAACTAATAAAATTTGATATAATTAGATTTTCTCATAATAAAATTTATATCATATTATAAATCTATTATATTGCATTATTTAATATATTAAAATTCATTATATTGAAGATTTAACTATATTTATTTATAGTTTAAAAAATAATATACTATTAAATAATTTTTATAAATTAAAAATATTTAATCAATTAAAAATGTATAAAAGTATAATATTTAAAATATTTATCTTTTAATAATTTATTAATTTATTAAAATTTAAATATTATTTAATTTTTTTAATTTAAACTTTTATTTAAAAATTAAAATATAATATAGTACTGAAAGTCTTAATCTCAACAATGTTTTAAAATTTTTTGTGAATTTTATATAATGTAATTAGTAATTGACTAATAAAAAATAAGTTATTAATTATTTTATTTGTGTATCATTTTAAAATTATAATAATTTAGGCTGAAAATTATGATTAATTACTATAATGCCAACTTGAATTATCATAAATTTCAAAAAATAATATATGTTTTAAATTTACGACTATTATATAAAAATTATCTATTTTTGAATGTCTATAATTTTTTATATAAAACTTATTTGAAAAACTGACTGGTAGTTTAATAAAGCTTATCTTAAAGAATAAAGTTACCAGTTTATTTTTTCTAGATTTTATTTTTTTAAAAAGATGAAAGATTTTAAGTGTTACATTTATATTATTAAGTATAGACTTTTTGTACTATGTATTTATTAATTTTATTAATTTTTTATAATATTTCATTTATTTATAGATTAATATAAATTATTATTTTTTTTTTTTATATATTTAATGTTAAAGTTAATAAATAATAATATTATATTTAATAAATTTTATAAAATCTAAAATAAATAACTTATAAAAAATTTCATATTTTTTTCTATTAATAAAGAAAATATCAAAAATAATTATTAAGTATAATAAATCATTATTAAACTTATAAATAAATTTTTTTTATTTCATGTAAATGTAAATGTAAATAAAACATATAATTTATAATCAAAATATAGTATTAAAATTTTTACTTTTATAAGGAAATGTAAAAAAATTTGAAATTAAGAAAAAAGAATATTATCAATTATTAAACTGAAATTAATTTTGAAAATTAAACTTATGTATATAATTTTTGTCATTTGATTGGCGCAGGAATACTACTATTTGTAAATTATCAATCAAATCATGACGATCTTTATAATCGAAAGGAACGTGTTTTAACAGGAAAGACGACACGTTTACTTTATACTAATCTTTTGCCTGAACGGTTCTCTTGCTTATTCACACAAAGAATTAGCATTCAGGGGATTTCTAATATGAATCGAGTTAGTTATACAAGGCTCTCTTTTTTTTTTAAAAAAAAAAAAATAGGGGAAAAGAAAGTTTTTCCATTATTCTTGACTGTCCTTTGCTTTTACCCACCAAAGAAATAACTTTCAAAGGTTCACATCAATAACATAAATAAGGAATAACAAAAAGAAAAAAAAAAAAAAACACGAAAAAAATAAATAAGCACAAGGATTTACACGTCAGAAATATGAGACATGCGCGTGAAACGTTTCAACTTGGCAAATATTTTAAAATGGAATCAGAACCATCATCTGATTTCTCGGTATCATCAAGCTCGACAACAACCACTGCAATTTCAACCAAGAGAAGATCAAATGTGGATTCACAAAAATTAATCGAAGAAACCAAATTAATAGCAAACTTTGCTCTCCAATCTTACGAGAATGATATTAAAAATTATAACGTCAATAATGGTCGACCGCCTTCACCTGATGAATGGCTCGGATTATGGACAGCTAATTCTGATCCAAAACCATTTGATTATTCCCTTAAAACGAATCATCTCTGTCGCAAAAGCATATCCGATCCAGCAGCGCGTGAAACTGAGGAAAGTCGACAATGGTGGTTAACAAATCTCAAAGCGGGATTACATCAAATAGAAATGTTACCCAAGAAACCAAACCTACCAAAGTATCTATGGGAGAAAGTAGCGTTGTCTGAATATGTGAATTTTGAAGATTTTACAAAAGACGGGATTGCAAGTCTATTCGAACATCAAGATTTCGAAATCCAAATTCATGATGTCTCATGGAGACAAACTAGTCCAATTCAGAGCTGGATGGAATGGAGTAGTGCATTTAGAATTTATCAAAAAGCGGTTACGATGCTTTACCCTCATCGACATGAAGAATTATGTGAATACGATTCACATATCATACAAATGACCACCCAATACCCTTTCGAAGCGGTTTATAATTATGATATGGCAAGAAGGCTTCGCGTTGTTGAAGATAGAACTTTAACGCTCAAGGTACACCAGAACGATTTGAGTTTGCATCACCTGATTTCTCAAGTGATGCTCAAAACCGAACCTGAACAAGATGAATCAGATCAAACGGAAGAGCAAGAAATATGTATCAATTGGAATAAAGGCCGATGCTCGGGTCCTTATTGTAAGCGAGCTCATGAGTGTCTTAACAGTGAATGTAGCGGCGATCATCCAAAATTATATTGTCCGGTCAGACCGTACACGAACAAAAGTAGGAGAAGAAATTATAGATATTAAAATGTAAAATTTTTTTAGGTATGAAATTTAAATTGTACACAATCATTTTCAAATGAAAAATATAACCTACTTGAATATACTTTGATGCATCATTGCATCATTTGATTTCATTACACGTTTCTAATTTTTAATTTTTAAATTTTTAAATTTTTTTTTTTTTATAAAAAAAAAAAAGTCGATGGATGAATGAAACAAAACAATGATTTACCTTTGTTTGACATTCAAGAAATAAATTTTTCTTGAAAATAAAAAAATAAAAAAATACTGCGCCTCAATGTAACACGCACATCTTTTGTTTTCCATAATGGATCTTTGATATTAATCTTTATAAATAACTTTTATTTACGTACCACTCATATCGAAAACACGAAGAATTTATGCATCTCATAAAATCGAACAATTTAAAACCTTTGTAACCTAAATTAGAAAGAAGGGATGATTGTGACTTTCGTATCACCAGTTCTTCTATAAATGTTACGATTATCTCGCGGATAGAAAAGCGTGGAGTATGTTCATATAAACTCAACATCTTGAAGTATTTACACCCAAGAAATTTTTTTCCTAAAATCATAAATAACAAATAATATACGTATAATATATTTAACTTTGTAACAAAAAATTTTCATAAAATGAAATTTTTCGTGTATATCGCATTGATAATTACCTTGTTCATCAATTTGAATTTGGCCTTTTCCACTTCGCAAAGGCATGCTTTTCGTTGTCGTAAGTGTTTTTATATTTCAACTCGTCAAAAATATTTCTAAATTCTAATCATGTCTCCTCATAGATCAAGAACCTTGTCCACTTCGGAGGCCAAGTCCAATCATAAGGAAAGGACCATCAACAGATGAATCAATCACACAATAAAAATTTATCCTCCTTTAGCATTCTTATTAAATTTATATGATAAATGCGTTTAATGTTCTTATTTACTCATTCTCTAGATATAAAATCGCGTCTCTCTCTTTTTTTTTTTTAATCTTGGAATTAAAAAATATTTTAATTTGAAGTAATTCACTTAAATTACAAAAAAAGAAAAAATATTAATAATCAAAAATCAGTTCTCATTGTATTAATCATAAATGTATGAAATAAGCGCGTAATTGATAGAATTAAATGATACATCTCACACATTCATTTAATACACTAGATTAATATTGTGATACAAATAGCAATTGGCATTGTTTCTATTATATGGGAAGATTGATAGGAAAATCTGTTCTGAGAATTTTTTAATTAAAAATAAAAAATTCTCAGAACTTGATTTTCTTAGCAATCTTCCCATAAGTTGTATTCTTGTTGATTTTGATATCATTATAATAAATTTTCTTTCTCGTTTTGTTATTGATATGCTTTTAAACTTTATTATTTTTTATAAAGATCATAGAAACTAAACTATTTAAAAAAGTAATTCGCGCGAACGTGATATAGAAAAAAAAAATGCTCTCAAAAGTCAAAACTTCAAAAAAGATTTTTTTTTTTTTTAAAAAAAAAAAATTTCTCCCTCAAGAAATTTTATTTTTTGTTGATATCTATATAAATAACTGTTTATATGTAATTATTGTTTCTTTTGAATTTTTTTGAATTTTTATAACTATGTACAATATATTATATATATAAATAAATAAATCATATTACGTGAGGGGCGATGAAAAAATAAATACGATAGAAAAACTTCGAATGGGGAGGGTGCATTTTTTTTCATAAGGTTTTTTTTTTTTTTTTTTTTTTTTTTTTTTTTTTTTTTTTTTTTTTTTTTTTTTTTTTTTTTTTTCTTTTTTTTTGTTTTTTTTTTTTTTTTTTTTTTTTTTTTTTTTTTTTTTTTTTTTTTTTTTTTTTTTTTTTTTTTTTT